TTTGAATTCCAAACTCATATTGTAAATATCTTAGACGTCTTATTCTTTCTTTCTTTGATAATACACACCCCTTCAAGGATTCATCTGTGCAGGTTTTTTTTTTCTTTGTGTATTCTTAATTCTCATCATTTTTTTGGAAGGAGGGGGTGGCTTCCCCAGCTGTTTCTAAAAATAGTTACTTTCTCTCTTCTCCAACTTTATTTTCATGTCTTTGTTATAGCATTTACACAATACACTGTTTCGATGTCTGTTCAGAAACAGACATGGTTGCCCACCATAAATTTCTTTGGCTATCAAGGCAGATGACACAACAAACTCATCATGACTATGAATAAAGTGCATTAGGTATTCACAACACATTGAAGATTCCCAAGAGGGGACAGGCTCAGTGAAGAGGGGAGCAAATGGAAGGGAGAAGGAGTGGCTTCTAGAGCGTGTAGCTGCTGTAGGGACTTCCTGGAGGCTGTGCTGTTTGAAATTCTCCCTGAGCTCAGAGGCAAAGGGAATTAGAGCCTTCTTATCTTGGTTCCCCAGATGTGGGGTAGACTGAGAGGAGGGGCCGGAATCTAAAAGTTGTCAACAGTCAAACATAAAAAATGGAGTTATCCTCCTTATTACAATGCTTTAATTATCCACAGTTTAGATTAAAAAAAGTAAGATGAAAGGGAGATTTTTGTTTTTGTTTTTGTTTTTTTTTTTTTTTTAAATAAGATGAAAGGGAGATTTTTGTTTTTGTTTTTTTGTTTTGTTTTGTTTTTTAGAGGACGAGGGTATTATGTATGCTTTCATTCTGAGTTGAATGATTCTGAGAACAGCAACAATTTTATTTTCAACAAATTCAGCATTCAATATTCAAACATTTCATTCCTTCAACAACAAATTCTTGTCTTCATGGTGCTTACGTTTTAGAACTGCAGAAATGAGAATGATAGTTACTAGAACGGCAGCTCAAAAAACACTGGAGCAGGTAAGATTGAGTCTCCCATATCCTCTAAAACAAAAGGTGCTATGTGCTAAGGTCCAGTTGATTAACCAAGGCAAATTTCAAAAGAAACTGTCTTATGTAAAGTCTTAAGTCATCAAGTATTGTCAGTTCTGCTACTGCAATATAAATTCCACTTGGCTCTTACAGGATCCTCAGAAAACCAAAGTATCTAAAAGTTCTCTACCAATGTGAAATGGAGTCTGTGTGGCATGCAAGGTCATTAAAATCTATGTCACAGAGAACATAACACAAATATCTTATATTTCTCATGAAATTAGGACATCAACTTCAATCAATTTATCTTTTTTTTTTGGAAGAAGAATTAAGTGCTTAATGATAGTCCTATGTAAAATATCCTGGTAATAAATTTTATAATAGAGTTTTCATTACAAAACAGAAATCCTTATTTTGGTTTGCATTTTGAGAGTTCAAAAGATAAGAACATTTATTAATATGGACAAAATGTGAAATTCATTTAAATACTAAATATTTGTTCTAGTTAGTAATCCTCTAAAACTATTAGATTACTGACTTTCTTTTTCATGAGCATTGGGAGTACAAAAGATTTATATCTTTTAAAAGAATCTCAGAACTGTAATTTAACTGAAGATTTAAACTATTCCAAGCATAAAAATAAATATTAGCTTGCATATTTAAGGCCTAAGAGAATTTAGTGTGAACTTAGAAGAAATCAAATAGTTGACATAAAACATTTATGGAAATTTGCCATTTCCTTTTTTATACCTTTCAACTATTTTTTATAAACTCTGAGTGATGTTATAGACCAGCACTGTCCAATAGAAATATAATGTGAACCACAAATTAGAGTCATATGCATAATTTCAAATTTTCTAATAGGAACGGTTAAATAGTAAAAAAACAAAAAAAAAGAAGGGAAACTAATTTTAGTAGTATATTTTATTTATCCCAACATATTCAAAATATGCAAACAATTATTATTGAAATATTTTACTATTTTTCCTAACTCTTCAAAATCTGATATCTGTTTTAATCTCAATTGAGACTAGACACATTTGAAATTCTCAGTAGCCACATGTGACAAGGGGCTGTCATATTGGACTGTATAGTTACAGAGAGTGACTGTTGTCATCTGGATTTAAGGATCAGGGGGAAGAATGGCAAAAATTGGCCCATCGGTGCCCAGCTCAAATCTTACTTCTTTCTTGAAGCCTTCTCTATTCCATCATCAGAGAATAACATTTTCTTGCACAAAAGTTTTATGAAACTTCTTTTCTGTGTTACTTTCAATATGTTGTCTTTTATTGCCCTTGTTGATGTGCATGTGCTAACCAGTTCCTTGGGAGATGTTTTAGTTCTCCTTAGGGGTAGACTTCCGAAGTTATCATATATACTGAATAAAGCAGCACTTCCTTTTCATTTGTCCATGGGTTTTATCTTCCAGATCTCACGTGCTAGTTTTCTAAGATGATACAACTTTGATATATATGCCTGTGTCCAGTTTTCCTGTGATTTTACAAGGTATGGTAGGCAGAATGGTTGAATAGAAGGATCAAGGTCCTGGAATTTCTTCCTTTGAATCCCAATTTCACCTCTTGTGAGACCTTTGGGAAGGTTTTATACTCATTGGTCCTATTTTCTCATCTGTCAGTGAAAATTATTGTTATTCTGTAGAATCGTTGAGAGAATTCAATGAGATTTTGTGTTTGGCAACTGTTCTATCATGTAAATTTTGTGAGGACAGGCCTTTTGTCTGCTTTGATTACCATTTGGTACCATTACTGAGATCAGTAGCTGACATATAGCAGGATTCAATAAATATTCTGATGAATTAATGATTGAATTACTGCTTTTCATTTTTTTTTTAGTTTTCATGGTTCACATTTCACAATCAAGGAAGCTAAATTTTAATGCGTATCTCTCTTTAACCTCTTCCTTGCCACATAGAAATCAGAATGCTCTTTCTTAAAAGTAAAGAGATATATCATTCCTGTGCTTAAAAGATCCCTTACCATGGCTTAAAAGGCTCTACCTGTCCCTTGTGACCCAGCCCCTACTCCTTCCAGTATCTCCTATCTCAAGAAAGGATACTGTCCTGCAATCACTTGCTCAATTATCATCAGTTCTTCCTATTCCTTCATCCCTCAATCCATCAGCTAGTTCTACCACTTCTACTTCTGTACCATATTTGTCCTAGGTACTATTATTTTTTACTGAGACCTGCAGCCTAGGGGACAGATAATAAACTCTTACCTCCTAACTGGTCTCTTCCATCATTGATTTCCTTACAATATACTTTCCACATAAGAGCCAGAGAAAGAGCTATTAAAAATGTTGTGTCTCTCACTGGTTTAACACCCTCCATAGATTTCCATTGCTCTTCAAATAAAATTTAAACTCCTTGCCATGGTCTCTAACACTTTACCAATTTGACCTTCATCTAACTATCCTACCTCTCAGTCACTATGTTGAGAACATATTTGACTCTTTCTGTGCCTCAAGCACATCACATTATACGGTTTTTGTGCTTGACATTCATTTTGCATGGGTATCTTGCCTTCAGTTTTGGTTGACTTTTTCCAATCATTTAGTTCTCAGCTCAAATATCATCTCCTTCCCTGATTACCAAATCTAAATAAAACTGCTCTTTCTATTCATTTATGTTGCCGCTGATTTATCTGGTTTATTTCTTTACTGAGTTTGTTGTTAGGTACCACCACTTGAATGTAACTTCCCTATAATCAGAAGCCTTTTCTGTTTTATTTACTATAATATCCTTAGTTCATGGAATAATATTTGCCCTGTAATAGATGCACTATAAATATTTGATGAATAAATAAAATTTTACATAAGTGTTCCCATATATGATTGGAGTGATAATGGAAGACGACATCAATACTGAATATATCAGGAAAGGATGAAACTTAAGATGAACTTTTAGTGATGGGTAGAATTTGGACTCATGGAAAAGAGGAGAGGATATTTTATGCTAGCAAGTTCACAAAGTCAGATGTGAGCATTCTGTTTGTTATTTGTAAATGTCATTCAATGATAGGGACATCTTGAATAATAAATGATTCATGAAAAATTCTATCCTTCTAGAATGATTCAATTCACTTCTATATTCAGCGTACGTATTCTTTAGTGAAAAAGCTAAGCACTTTTAATGTTAATTGTAAAAGATCCATATTTTTTAATCCTTGTCTATCTGTCCTAATTCACATATTTCAAGGCAAATGCCCAAAGGAATGATCTTTCCTTGGAGTTAACTGAGGCCAAATAATTATGCGTTGCCATATAAAGCATATGATAATAGGATTACTTTTTTGCTGTATATATATGAACCAATTTCTTTCAGAGACTATAAATTATCTGTTATTAAACGAAGCTTATTTTAGGGAATCGTATTAATATTTAGGATTCAGATTATTTTTATTTACTATATTATATTACTAACAGTTATCCTAGTCTTACTCAACCAATGAGATTATCTGTTAAATTTTAATGAATTAAGCAACAGTATCCTGGTTGCTTAGCAAAGTATTCTTGCATAATTGGGATCATCTTTCTAATCATTTAAAATTAATCATCTCGAGTCTTCAAACTATGCTTTAAAAGTAGAAATAAAGCATGAATTAAGTTTTGTTCCATTGGTTTCTATCAGGCGTGTGTAGTCTACATACTTTGGTATACAAACAAACCTCTATTTTTCAAATTTACATATTTTCATCATGAGATTATTGCAGACAATTTCTTCTTCTTCTGCTCCTTCATTAGTGCCTTAATAAGACTTTTCATATGTCTGAATTTAGCATTCTATTAAGATTATGTTCTTCTGTTATATGGTACTTTCTCTTACCATCCTTTTTCGGTCCAGAAGATCTCAGCATTCTCTTCACTCCTCCTATCTTTCCATATGACAGACAAGCAAAGTAATTGTCAATGACACCTTATAAATCAATAAACAATGTTATGCTTCTAGACCTCATGATTATCTTCCTTCAGTAACAAAACACTCATCCCATAAGACAGCGATAAACATGTGTGCCTAGAAAATTTGACTCCTACCACCTAACGTTTTTAAAGTATAATACAGTTGAAATAATTTATAAAATTAATGTGATTACTTTCTAGGCATACTTTCTGTTTTATGAACAAAATATAGAGTGAAGAACAGTAAAGACTTATAAGTAGCCTTTAATGAATAAAAAAAATGGAACTATGAGGTTACTTCGTTGAAAATTTCTAAAGGCAATGCCAATTCTCAAAGCCTTAATGAATAATTGATTGGCCCAGGTTATGATGAAAGATGGGCTTGCATGGAGTGTGACATTTATCATTCATTCATTTACAAAACATTGAAGTGTCTTCTCTTTTTCAGCTGTCTATTTTTGTTCTTTTTCTTGCTGTTTTTTTCTACTCCCCTGACTACCACTGACTGACTTCCAATGACATCTGTTTAACTGTCCTCCAAATACTGGCTCTTTCCTGAGGCACACACATGAGTTCTCTAGAGGTCTCTGGGGGTTATCCTCACTGCCTACTTCCTTGACGTGATGGATTAGCTGTGGCTCAAACTTTTTTTTAACTCTTCTCAGATCTTCCCTCTGGCATTATATCCTACTGCTTTCTGCTGGCAAGGTCTGTTTGCACAGAGGCCAGGCTTCTTGGGTGGGGTCTTGGTAAGATGGTTCAAGCCTGACTGTAGTCATAGTTAACCCATGGGAGACTCTAGTATCTTTGTCACGTCAAAAGTGGGTGAACAAATTGTTCTACCGCTCTTTTCTTTCTCTCTCTTTCCAATTTCCTTTTTCCTTGATCAATCAGACACATGAGCAAAAAGTCTGCCTAAGTACATGGGCATCTAGGAGACATTATTCTCTCTAGCAAGCACCCTCAATTTATGGTGGTGATACACATGGGGCCCTCTTCATTTAACTATAGTGTGGGGTGTGAGCAGAAACCCTACTTCACACCTCTTGGGGAGCCAGGAAGAGTCATGGTATTTATTCCCCACTAGGCCAGAAACTCGGGACTTCAATGGGTTGTGCTTTTTCTTCCTCCTATCTTCTGCTTACAAGGAGTTGAGAGAGTAGGTATAAAACTTCATAATGCTTTTTGCTTTTAAGTGACCAATAAGAAAAGTCTCACTTATTACGTAGTATATCTATTATACTACGTATACACATATAAATCAGAACATATGTAAATGAAATTTAAAAAATAATTTGGGACTACTGGTCTTTTAGTGAGTAAACTTTTAAGTTCATTCATTACACGTATTACTATTTGAACATCACTGCCCTTCAACCTCAGCTAGTCTCATATTACTTCTTGGTGAAGATAGAAATGATCACAGCCCCTAACTTGCAGTAGCAATTTGTGTGAATGTGGCTAGTACTAAGTTGGTGCTCAGTAAATCATTTTTAAACCATGAAAAACATCAATTTATCTCTATCTGTTTCTAGATATCTTATTATATGACATCTCAAAAGGTAAAGCTATTCAAAGTAATTGTTTATGGCAACAAAGCGAAAGTAAAGAATTTGACTCCGGGTGTGGACTACGTGTTTCATGTGAAGACAGTTAGAAGCAAAGATTGCAGTGTATCTGTAATGAAAAAAGTGACTACAAGTAAGGATATATTATAAATGAATTCTTTGCTTTATAGTTTTGTGAGAATCAGAAGTACTTTGGCTCACTATAAATAAAGCTATTTTAAAACACAAAGCTTGATAATAAAGGAAAAATGATGATCATAAAAATATGATTAAAAGAACTCAAAATATATGAACTTAAAAAGTTGTATATGGCTAAATGTTTTGGAAACTACACAGTTTTTAAAATCTATACATACATGCTTATGTGTAGACACACATATACAACATGTATGGATACATATGTATATTTATAGATATATTGTATCACTTATATACAATATACATGCATATATATGCATGTATATATATACAAATATACATAATATTCCATAATAATATAAGCACAATTTATTTTCTACTGAAGTGTGGTTTTGATGAACAGAACTTCTATCTTCTTTTCATCAATGTTTGTAAATTCATTATAAATCAGTTCCATAAGGTTTTGGGATTAGGTGTAGTAATAGTATTTGTAACCAACAATTCTTGTGAAAGTTTGTGAGATCTACAGGATCTCATCTCAGTGGAGACCAATAATGCAAGAAATGTGATTTCCATTGATGAGTAGATTAAAATCAGCAGTTATGTAATGATGTAGGACTGCTAAAAACTTTGATGTAACCAAAAAAAACACACATGAAAGCACCCTTATTTCTGGCCCTTGCTCCCTCTCTAAGTTATTCTGTTTCATCTTCATCCAAAATTAGGTAACTGCTAGATGGTAGCTACCAAATCTGTGATTATATCATATAAGGATACTTCTGGTTAAAAGTATTCAAGAGACACAGATCTAAAGAAATGACCATTGGAAGTGATTTATGATTGGTTAAGGAAAGATATTTGGGAAGTAGGGAGGATATTAATGTGCCACTTAAATTAAAACCCATATATATGTATCTATTTCTCTATTTGCAGAGTTGAACATATAGGATGCTAGATATGAATAAACTTAAGGTTTATTACATAAATGTTCAAATTACATTATTCATGTTTGCTTTATTTTTATATATATGTGCAATTTTTATTTACATATAATTTACCTTTTCAATAGAACCCTCTAGTATATGTGGCTTAACATTAAAAGCCGTGAATACTTCTTCTGTGAATTTAATGTGGAATCCAACAGAGACCAACTTCACTCATTACAAGATTTATATATCAAACAGAACATTTGCAAAAGAATATCTTATTTGGGGAATGATGACTGAGTACACACTTACAGATCTGACTCCTGGTGGAATATATAACATCACAGTAAACAGAGTAAGAGGCAATGTTGAAGGATCTGGAACATTTATCACAGTTATTGCAGGTATACAAATTATTTTTGATTTTTTAAAAATTCATATCTGTATTACATTTTGTACTGTTCAAGATAAAATTTCAGTTTTCTCATTTTAAAGTGGCAATAATTATAGTATATACTTATGAAATGTTATGACTGCTTCATAAACAATGAAAGTGCTTAGCACAGTGTATAATATAGTATAAACTTAGTAAGAGTTGGCTTATATTATTTTGCATGTCTAATGCACGAGTATCTCATCAGTCATAGTATATATTATGCCCAACCTATGGTTTAATTATGGAAGGATTTAAATGTGATATTCAAAGCTTATCATACATAGTGTTGGTACACAGGGAGTATAACTAAAAGTTAATACTAATGACAATGAAACTTTTAAAAAGTTGTCCTTCATAGGCTTTTGTTTTCTTGAAACTATTATGATAGATTAGGGCAATTTTTTGTGAATATTACGAGTTACGTAACAGTTTAGTCTCACTTTGTGTATAGTCAGGAGGATCTCTCTGTGTAGCTTCCTTTTCCATTTTGAATCTCTTCCTACTGTCTTTCTCAAAGGTTAATGTGCCATAGTTCGTATCAGGATTTTGTTTTTGAGGTACTTCCAATTCTTTTAAGCTGTTTCCCTTTATAGACACCGATCGTGGGATCATATTTCTGTTTTCACTCAGCCCTTCAAAATGTAGTTTAGGTAAGTTTACCGAAATGCCAACGGGAAAACTTGAGAGATGCTTTAGAGTATGCCATCCAATATGTAAGATTAGCAACATGTGACTATTGAGCCTTGAAATGTCGCTAGTTCAAATTCAAATGTGCTTTAAATGTGAAAAACATATGGGGTTGCAAAGATGATATGAAAAAAATAACCATCTTATTAATAATTCTATATCAATTATATGTGAAATGATGTTTTTGATATATTGGGTTAAATAAAATATACTATTAAAATTAATTTTGCATGTTTCTCTTTATGTTTTTAATGTGGCTCATATTATATTTTTATTGGACAGTGATACTTTAGAGAATCACAAAAGACATATTTAAGCATATTTCATACCCTGAGATATCCTGCAATGAAGAAAACTATTTAACTTAAAAAAATGAATTATTTGATAAAGTGGTTTGATCACAAGACATCTACTAAATTCTAAGGATTTAAGGTTCTGAAGATTAATTTTTACGAAAGTCTGGTCTAAAAAATTACCTAAGTCTAGAATTCCTTTTGCTAGCCCTAATTAAACTGAATACAATGTGGCATTCTTTTCTCTTAAAACTCCAAACATATCCTCTCTGGATTTTATTGTTTAGTAACAATTAGGTTGAAAGTAATATTTTTATTTCATATTTTCCTACCCTTTGAGAGACTAAATTCTATGGAGTACTAATCATATATTTATTATACGGTCTACTTTCACTTAATTGAATCTTCCTTCTCATATCCAGAAAGCTGCACTCATCCACAACAACTTAAGCATTGCTCCACCTCCACTACCTTTTTCTGAGTGCAGGCCTCACTCTTCTCTGCCCTCTCACTCTTCTCTGCAATATCCCACTAAATGGCCTCTCACTGCCATTTTTACCTCTCTCCAAATCATGTACCATTCAATGCCATTCGAGAGTAATCTTAAAAAAAAAAAAAAAAAAAAAGTTCAGATTGCTTCCGCACTTAAAATTTAAGGCTTTCCATTGCATTCAAGGAGAATAAAATCTAAAATCTTTATTATAGCCTGAATGTTCATTAGACTGTTCCTCTTTCTTATATGATCCCTAAAATTCAGGCTGGCTTTTCTCAGTTACGTTAAATTCTGTCTAATTCCAGGGCTTCTATCCAGTCTGCTTTGAAAGGTCTTTACCAAACTGTCTTGAAGTTTTCAGGCCTTCCCTCTTGATCAGATTGGCAAATTTCCAGACAAATATATTCTTCCTCCTCTTGGTGAGATACACTTCATTCTTAGCCAAGAATTCTCCAGTGTGTAATCTTAAACCACAGTCTAGGAAACTACATCCTATCTCACCACCATCTCAGTAAGCAGACCTCCACTTCGCTGATCTTCCTTTTTCTTCCAAAGTCTTGTCCGAGGTCCTTTTCTAGTTTATTTCCTAAGACTTCATGGATATTAGTTACTTTCTGAGACCCTTGAAGAACCAGTATTAGCCCTCATATAAATCAGTAAGTGTGAGTAGTAGTTGGCTGGACTTTTGTCATGTTAGACTTCTCTCTGTTTTAATGTGGGGTAGTGAGGTGGATCAAGCTCTTTTCTCTCAAGCTTCAGAATACCGAGACATAGGTCTGTGTGCAGAATGTTCCAGGACAAATGCCAGCAACTGTGTACAACAAAGTAATTGTACCATCACAACCTGGGTGTTTTTCTGATCTTTTATCTTGGATTTAAAATTTATCTAAAGAGTTATTATAAAACTGCAGTGCTCACTACATGGACAGTTTGGACATGATGCTGAGAGAATGATTGTAACTTTGAGAATGTCATGGTGGAAATTAATTGATCAATATCAGTTTAAGGTACTAGGGAAGCACTATAAGCATTAAAGGAACTTTTCAAAGAAGATAAAGAAAAGTCATTGAAAAGTATCTTCCTGCCATTTGCGACAACATGTGTAGAACTTGAGATAATCATGCTAAGTGAAATAAACCATGCAGAAAAAGTTGAAAATCACATGATATCACTTATATGTGGGATATAAGCCTAAAAACAACAAATGATCAGGACAAACAGAGACTCATGGACATAGACTATAGACCAATGGTTACCAGAGGGTAGGGAATGGAGGAGGAGCGGGGAGACGGATGGAGTAAAGGGGTCAAATATGTGGTGACAGAAAGAAATCTAACTATGGGAGGTGGACACACAATGTAAATATATATATGCCTTACTGTTAAAGTATATAGCTGAAACATCGGATTTCGTTAACCAATGTCACCATAAAAATAAATAAATAAATAAATTAATTAATTAAATAAATAAATAGATTTTAAAAAGAAAAAAAAAAGTAAAGCATCTTCCCCCACCCCTCAAAAAGAGAAATTGACTTGTAATGTTAAGACTTTTATTTTATGCAATTTATCCTTATCGGTTTTGTTAGGAAATACATATTTTAAAAATTATACCCATTTCAAACCATCTCTGGTAGAGGGGCTTTAAAATGATAAATGGATTTAAATTATTAATTCCAGACTTTTTGGGGGGGGAAACGGTGTTAGGTTAGGTCTCTATCAGGTATATTTTTCACATGCTTGGCTTCAAAATCTCTCTCCCTCCCATATATTGTTTGTCTGGAATTTACTCTAAAGATAAGGCAGAATGAAAACCTGGCTCATTGGCAAGCAATCAGAAGAACTTTATATAGAAAACTCCCTTCAAGGAGATATAGGCAGCATAAACTAAACTTTGGAAACAGTGGAAGCAAAGGTGGAAAAATATGATCGAAATGGCTAGGACAATTAAGACTTATTGTTTAAAAACTATCATATTTCCTTTCCTACATGAAAACTTAGCTTTCCTTTTAAAGAAACAACTAACTTTTTTTTAATCAAAATTGATCACTCTTTAAAAAATCTGGCATATTTTTTCAATTATTTTCTGTTTAATAAATATCCAGATAATTGGATAAATAGTTCTTACTTATTTTGCTTTAAAACGATTCAATTTTTCTATTAGAGCCTAAGCTTTAAAAAACAATCTGGTCAACCAACAAATTTTAGTAGGTAAGGCATATCCCAGAAATAGATACATAACTTGATATATTACTACTGATAGTTATACTTAAAAACTATCTATTATCAAGATATACATGCTTAACGCCTCCATATGGCTAGAGATAATTTAAAGGATTCAGTGCTTTCTAATAATGTGACTAGTTTGAAACCTGACCCTTATAAGACTATTGATTTTCACTTTTTCTTTGAAGCTTTAGGAGAATAAGTTGATTTCAAACCTCTCTTTTTCAATATCAGAACCGGAAAAACCCGAGAAACTTAGAGTCTTCAATATTTCCGCACATTCCTTCTCTCTGCACTGGAGCCTGCCCTCTGGACATGTGGAAGGGTTTCATGTGGGTCTGGTTCCTGACAGTGGCTTTGTTACTATCAAAGATCTTGGAGGTGGAGAGTATCAGGTATAGTTTTCATTATCATACTTGCTGAGCCAACTCGTATTTATATTTGGCCCCAATAGGAAAGTTCTTTATGAAACTCATCCACTGTGAAAACTTACTCCTTTGAGAGTTTTTAGAAGCCTAAGATGAACAGAAAAACACTGATGCCAAATTGATGAGTGTAAGTTTCAGCGTTGGTGGACTGTTACCTTAGCAACGTCTATGCCTTTTTTTTTTTTTAAGTCTACCCTGAACCTACAGCCAGCCATCCAAGGGTTCATGAATAGTTTAACGAAGAAAGGGCAGAGCTATTGAGTAATCCAGGCTCATTAATTGTGTACTTGCCAGGAAGATCTGTCTCTAAATCATTAATGCAGGCTACATTTCTCTCTAGAGCCATCAATGTGATTCCACTGCCTGAAAAATGTAATAATGATGGATTTTCTTATCATTTTTCTTTTAGTTTTTATTGGGACTTCAGAGACACAGGTATTTTATATACACTCTTAAAAACCAAGGCTAAGCAATGGGCTATAGATTTCTTAAGAGTCTTAAATAGTTGTTTCTTGTGACAAAGAATTAGCAAAGATAGAAATACTGATTTAGTCTTTGATAACACAGCATGTTTTTTAAGTTTCTATTATGTTATTCGGTAAAAAGTTATGTGATAGAACAAATTTATGTTTTACCACAATATGGAACTTGTGATATTTTAAATAATACAGGGTTGTAAAGTAACTTTATTATTATTTTTTGACTGTGATAGATTTATTATTTTAGCTTTCTTGCTTTCCAGGAAGAGTTTTAATGCAACTATTTGTTTTTGGTGTTCTAGGTTGATGTCTCCAATGCTATTCCTGGTACGAGGTACAACGTAACCATCTCTTCCTTTTCTGCGACAACATATAGCTCACCTGTTAGTAGAACAGTGACAACAAATGTAACCAGTGAGTATATGTTTATAATTACCTTTTTTTAAATGAAGTATTTGAAGCTGGTATAAATATATTGGATGGAAATACTTATCTTAGCAATATGTGCATTATATGCATAAAAAGAATTTAGTAATTAAAGCAAAATGGAAACTTAAGAAAGTGATCTATTTAAAACTTGCATTTTACTCATTCTTTAGCTTCTTTTACTTTCAAATAGTAAAGGTAACAACTCTATACTTTTTTGTGAAATGGATCAGAGACTGTTAATGGTGATATCTAAATATCACAGAGTCATGAAAATAAACTCACTATGCCTGCCTGGGAATAATTATTCAGTTTGTAGGACTGTTTCTTGTATTCTTAATTTTTTGTGTTTAAGCCTGGCACAAGTAAGTTTCTTTTGTAAATGATCTGGCATCAAAAGTATATTTGGCATGTAGTAGTAAATAGCATTCCATTTTTTACATTCTTATAAAAGAATGTTTTTGGTATTCCCCAAAGCATTTAATCTTTTTACTTTTCTTTTGGTAGCAAGGTTCTAGGGAAGATAAACTCACATTTAAGAGACCATTAGTCTTTAGGAACTTCAAAAGCCTAAATTTGTAAACATCTTTCTTACCTATGATTGTGAAAATACATTTTGTTTTTTATTTTTAAATAGAACCAGGGCCTCCAGTCTTCCTAGCTGGAGAAAGAGTTGGATCGGCTGGGATTCTTCTGTCTTGGAATACACCACCTAATCCAAATGGAAGGATTATCTCTTACATTGTGAAATATAAGGAAGTTTGTCCATGGATGCAAGCAGTATATACACAAGTTAGAGCAAAGCCAGATAGTCTGGAAGTTCTTCTTACTAATCTTAATCCTGGAACAACGTATGAAATCAAGGTAATTATTATGTTAACAATAATTTAGTATTAAAATATTTCATTCATTTTAAAAGTGAAGGAGCATTTCTCACCTGGTCAAGCCTTTACAGCTGAACACAGCAAATGACTGAATAATGATTATCTGAGTCATGGCCTCCATGCTCATCTGGGCTTTTAAAATGAACAAATATAATCACTTTTTATTTTTATATGCATTTGTGTAATTTATCTATTTAAAAAAGGTCAGTGATTTTTTTCAAAGAATAAATCAAGTTTAAAAGAAATAATTTAGGCTTCATAAGTGAAAATATAATACTTTTTTATTAAAAATTGTTTCATTATTTTTCTCTTAATCCTGTTGTATTTGTATGTATTATCAAAATTTTGGATAATGGGAAGAGAGCCTCTGATGAGCCAGTTTCTAAAAGAGCAGTGAATTCAGTTTAGTTCCACTCAACAAATATTTCCTAAACATTTACTGTGTGTTTGTGTTTATAAAAATTTTTAGTCTTTTACAATGTTCAGTATGCAAAAATAATGCCTTATTTAAAATTTAGATAAAGAAGAACCTTAAAAAGCAATCCTAAATTAGGCCATATGAAAATGTTTACAGTTAAGAGATATCTGTGATATTTCTAGGGGACAGTAAAGAATACAGATTAATTCTAGCTCCTTTCTATTTTCAACATAACATCTATATGTTCTTTGAGCTTTGTTGGTAATTGAATATAGAGAATAAAATTTATAAGAGCTGCATAAATATCTGGTCATACATAACTAAGATGATCTTCTAGATGATAAGAAATTACGGGAAAGAAGAGATTTTGCCTGGAGGGTTTTTCTTATCAGAAATGTTCCTGTTTGCGGAATCAAAGAATACAATAACTGGAGAACATATACCAATAAGAGTAGGGATCCCCCAAATGAAAAAAGTAAAAACAAACTTTTACTGATGCAGAGATCAAAGTCAAAGATTTATGATGACTATTTCATCACAAAAACATGGATTAAAGAGTAGGAAACCTTTTTCTAACTGACATCTGAAAATGAGACACTAAAGATATTTTCTGTCAATAAACACATATTCATATTAACCTATATGTTAAAATATGCTATTAAAAGTAGTAAATAAAGATCAGATTGTAATGTGATATAAGAGGCTATTCCTGACAGAAAGGTGATTTAACCAATCTAGTTCTGCTTAGATCTATTTTTTTGGAGTTTGAATTTTATTCCTTTGAATTCCCTTATTTCAGACCTATTGAGAAGCTCTTTTTCTTCTTTTCATCCCACACTTTATAAATCATTGTTGTAACCTTTACACTGTTCAAATAAATGTTAACCATTGCAGAATTCAAAAGGGTTTTTGGCATAGTACATTTGATATCGTCAAATGTAGGTAGGTATCAAATCTACATGATTGTAGGAAAATCTAGTTAAGTACATTAATGTATTATTTCATTTAGTCTTCAGAACAGTCCTATGACATAAATACATTATTATTCCTATTTCAAAGAAAAGGAGAATGTGACTTAGAATAGTTAAGTAAATTGACCAAAGCTACTCCTCTGGGGATTGGTAGCACTGCAATTTAAACCAAGGTTGTCTGACTCTAGTTACGGCATTTGGAAGAACTTGAGAGTTGTGTGATCTCATTTATGACACTTTTCTTTGCCTATTCTAGTCTATTTGACTAGTATATCCAAGTAAAAAAAAATTTTTTCAATCTATTAAATTCTAGAATATGTAGTCTAAATGATTAATTAGACTTGCTTATTTTTAAAATTGTTTTTCTGAGTATTTATTTGTCTGATTAGATTGTAGACTCTAAAGCCAGGTACCATCTATATGGTCTTGTATTTGTTACAGAAATAGTTGTAATGTCTTGCATAGAGTAACTATAGTGGAAAGAGGGTGAGCTTTAAAAATAACAATAAGCCCAACTTCAACTGAATTCTGGTTCTACCATTTATTCCTGTATGACTTCAGGCAAGTTACTTGACCTCTCTCAACCAGTTTTCTCATCTACAAAATGTTGACAATAATACTTAATGTTTTGATTATGTGGCTAAAATGAGATGTGTAAAATCTCTAGGTTTCCTGGTGCATAGAAATTGTGCATAAATGGTAACTTTTATTATTATTAATAGAGTATAAAACTTTATTATTAATATTTCCATTAGGAATCTGAGAAATCTCTTGAATTAAACTATACTGCAAATATACTCTTATGGGAATGGAAATATGGAATGGCTCCATATGTACCTTATGCTTCAGGAATATTATAGGAATTAGAGGGAAAAGTATCTTTATCATTTATCAAATAATAAGACAAGCCACATTTATTATTTCAGATTAAAGAGTAAAATTTAATAATTCTTTTGATCTACTCTAGGTTGCTGCTGAAAACAGTGCTGGCATTGGAGTGTTTAGTGACCCATTTCTCTTCCAAACTGCAGAAAGTGGTAATTTTCCTAAATCATTTATTCTAAATTTACTTAGTTAAGGGTTTTCATCACTTAAAATAAATAGGGATATAAAAAAATATCTCATGCTAAAATGCATAAAATGTTCAACAGCATGGCCATTTAATTATGGTTAGAGTCTTCTTGGATAGTTAATTCATTCATTAAAGTAGATATTATTATTTCTGAGTATAAAAACAGTAAATGTTATCTTAGAAAACTTTTTAAAAAAAACAGAAATAAAACCATTCAATGAAAATTATTTATTGTCTTGTTACATAAAAAATCCTATTATCATTTTGGTACATTTCTTTTCTGGCTGGTTTTTTTCTCCCCCACCATGAATATATGTGTATATGACTATATAATAATGAAAATAGGCTTGTGCCATTTATGCATGTTTATATCTTACCTTTTTTCTGTTAACATCAAATCATAAGCATTTTTATGACATTAGATTTTTGGAAATATGGATTTTAATGGTTATTGTATTATACATAACACATAATCATTACCAAACCAATTTAAAGATACCTCCATTCTTTTGGAGTTAAAAAAGATATTTCCATTCTGGAGGAGAGGAAAAATCTTGATGTCATCCTTAACTCCTCTCTCTCACAGTATACTCTGATATATCAGCAAACTCTGCCAGCACGATATGAAAATATATCCTGAATCTCACCCTTATTGCTAATCACTCTAATCCATTATCATTTCTTGCCTCAACAATTGAGTGTCCTTGTTTTTCTTGTTTCCAATTTACCTGCCTACAGTTTACTCTCTCCACAAGGGCTACACCATCTTTTGAAACATGTGCCAATGTTACCGTTCTCTTCCTAACATGGCTCCTATATCACTGAGAATAATATCCTACGTCCTTCCCAGGGCCTGTATGCAATGCTCTGTATGCTCTTTTCCCTCTCTGACTTCATCTCTTACTATTCTGTCCTCCTCCAGCTACTCCAGCTACACTGATCTTCTTTTTGATCTTTATATATTTTATACTTCTGCCGACATAATTTCTAGAGATATTAACTCTCTTGGCAAATCATGATTGAGAAAAACTAGAGAAACTGTAGAATGTAGTGAATATCGTCCTATAATAGATGTCTCACTGTTTCTCATTTGCTGTGTGTTCTTGGGCAAATTATGTAATTACAGAATCCCTTTCTTTTCTTTTCTTTTTTCATTTCTCTCTCTCTCTCTCTCTCTGTCAGTATAAAGGGTAAACATATAATGTAAACCTAAATGTAATTAGATCAATGATTTCCAATTTTTTCCTCGAATATCCCTTTTTTTATTATTTATGCTACATAAAACCCAAATTTAAAGAAGATTTCTATGAAGTAACTAAATTGGGTTTATTATTGTTGAATCAGAAGTAATTTCTTTCCTCATGAATAAAAGTACTCTTAGGCAGAGTGTACAAGTTAATCAATTATATAGCATGTTGAGCTAATATTCCATCGATAAGCACGAAAACTCAACTTTTTAACTTCTCATGAAGCATTATTTCAGGTAAATAATAGAATTTATTTAGGCTTTACGATATTAGAAATATCTCTTGCATCTTCACTCCCAACTTGATGAATCCTTAAAAATTCAAGAAAATACTTTTAGAAGTCTCTGTATTGGATTTATACAGTTCTTTTTTTTTTTTTTCCTGACCCAATAAATGTATGCTTTGTAGAATGTGCACTTTGAAAAGTAGGTACTTTCACATACTTGTGTATTTATGCATGTCACTAGTTTATATATAACCTCAAAGCATTGGAAGACACTTATGTGAAAGACGAAATAACTTTATTAACAGAACTTTGTGGTACTTTATTATTAAACCTTTACTTGGATCAAAATAGATAAATTCACTCAATAAGAATCAAGAGATAATGAGATTTTACATAAAAGTCCAGGAGTAGAAACTAGAATATTTAAAATAGGAAAAGACCTGCCAACTACAGAAAAGAGCCAGAATTTGTCTTCAGACACTGTGAATTCAAAAAAGAAAAACATTTTATTGGGACAAAAATAATTTAAAGCAAGTTAATAAAAATGTTAATAGATGTAATTAATTTCACTAGATGTTGTTTAACAGATATAATTAATTTTTATCTGTTAATGTTTTTAGGCTACTTTTCTTAATAATTTGAAATCGTGCTTTAGAATTTAATAAAAATTTGGTTACCTTATAAATTCAAATTTCTCTACACCTGACTGTTAATGCCCATTTATAAATGTGTCAGCTTGTCTGCAATTCGTTATTGATATATATATATCAGCCATACTTATAAAAATTTGTATAGTTTATACAACTAAATTTAAAGGATGATTAAGATTCATGAAGAGAGTAAAATGGCAGTTACCAGGGAGTAAGGTGGTGGAGGAACAAGACTGATGGTATTCAGAGTACAAACTTGCAATGGGTAATAAATAACCTATAGAGATCTGCTACACAGTATAATGAATATAAACAACAATCTCTCTCACTTCCCCAGCTCCAGGAAAAGTGGTGAATCTCACAGTCGAGGCCTTTAACTATTCAGCAGTAAACCTGATATGGTATTTACCTAGGCAACCAAATGGCAAAATTACCGGTTTCAAGATTAGCGTCAAACATGCCAGAAGTGGGACAATAGTGAAAGATGTCTCAATAAGAGTAGAGGACATTTTGATGGGGAAATTGCCAGAATGTAATGTAAGTATCACGGTACACTTTCTATGGCTCAAAAATTTTGAATAAACTTATATTTTGGAGTTTCCAGCATCTGTGTATTATATATTTTATCAAAATATAGCTATTTGATTACCTCTAGTATTAGGTTATAGTATCATGTTATACACAATTGGCTATATTTGAGGTAGAGTAAGAGGAGGGTTTGAGAATTCAACATTTCATGACAGGAGTAGCATCTGTGCTAGGCCTTGGAGTAAAAATAGATGGATTATGAGAGGGGCACATTCTGGGTGAAGGATACTTTATAAAGCCCTGAAGTAGGAAAGTATAGGATATCACTGGAAAAAAAAGATGTGATAGGAGGGGAGAGGAGAGGAGGGGAATAATCAAGGTTAAGTCTGTGGAAGTAGATTGTTTTTGTTGTGCATATCTTCGGTAAAGAATTTGTTATTACTCATAATTGATAGGAAATTCCTAGAAGTAATATAATTATGCTTTTCCAAAAATAATGTTGATGATCTTTGTGATAATATTGATGGAGAAACAGCCAAACCTTTTGTTTCAAATACTTTAAGTTATAGAAGTCTCAAAATCTTCTTTTTAAAATTAGGATATATTTCGAATACAAATAAAAAGCATACCTACACACATGCACACATACACACACATACAATGCATGTGCTATTGGCTTTATTTTTTGAGTTCTTATGAGAAAAATGATAATAATAGTAAGAAAGTGATCTATGGTTGAAATTTCACAAATAGAAAAGTAGTTCATCTCTTTGGCTCTTGCACTTTTAACATGAATTTTTAAAAATTCTTACTAATGATTTTCCTGTAGTTTTGCCTTTATTTTAGGTCACCTGAAATCCTATTCATAAGAAAGATTAAGGTATAAGAATGCAATATATGTATTCTGCTTTAAAACTGTAGACATAAATGGGTATATTTCTAGCAAATTTGTCCATAACTTGAATACATTAATCTGTTAATGTGTAATGTGTATTAATCATACACATACAAATTTAAGAATAATATTTGTAGTAAAAAGGAAAAAAATGAATTACACTTCTCATGTTCACTAAGTGATAACACATTTTTTTCTCCATTGATATTTATTTTATTCACTAGGAGAATAATGAATCTTTTTTATGGAGTACAACCAGCCCTTCTCCAACCCTTAGTAGAGTTACACCTCCATCACGTACCACATACTCATCGAGCACATTGTTACGCAGTAAGATAAGCTCTGTGTGGAAAGAGCCTATCAGTTTTGTAGTGACACATTTGAGACCTTATACGACATATCTATTTGAAGTTTCTGCTGTTACAACTGAAGCAGGTTATATTGATAGTACAATTGTCAGAACACCAGAATCAGGTATGGTTTCTTGTTTTGTGTGTGTGAAAAAAAAAAAGTTAAATTCCTTGTAGAATAATCTTTCATTATTTTTGATATAGATCTTTTTGTTAAAATGTTCCTTCTGTTTCAATAACTATTTTCCCCCCAATGACAGATAATAAGATCACATCTGGAGCATATTCAATTTTGGTTCTGTTTTATACTACTAACATGAGCACCTAAAATTAGAAAAATTTGAAAGAAAGGATTCTTAAGCTAATAACCATGATTCTAGGATCAGCTTTTATTATTCCATGATCTCAGCAATTTTTCATAATTATCTCTGCCTTTCTACATCTTCTGTAATCATCTGTACCCTTCTCTCACTGATATTGCTATTACCAAAAGTGATAACATCTGAAGCAACAGAAATATCATGTGATTAACATTTCAATATCAGATAAAAACAGTAGTTAAAAAAGATATTTACTTGTATCCTCTTTGCCCTGCAGTTTCCTCATGTAAAAAATGGAGATTGTGGTAGTACATTCCTTATGATGGTGGTGGTAGGATTAAAAGTATAATTAGATATTATTATTAATTCAAAGTACATATTTTTAAGTATGGGTGTTTACATATTTAATTATACTGTTATGGATATGTATATAAGTAAATTTATGTAGATGATGACATAATACCATACTAAATATATAGTATCAGACATTCAATTATGATAGGTAATATTTGAGGTTGCTGAAAATTATTATTGGTAGCATAATTTCACTCAAGCACAGTATTTTTTTTCTGGTGACATAGCTGTTGCCCTTTATCATTTTATGACATGTAAGTTTGAAATTTTTTTCTTGATTTAAACAACCATCTTTGAATCATAGCTTGTTCTTCTTCCATACTTCTTACTTTACTCTTATTCGATAAAAAAAATAACTTCGTAAGGGTCACACAAAGTGAAATTAGTAGACAAGAAATTTGTTTTGAAAAAAATATTTGTAATGTTTCATTTCAATTAAAACAAGGGGTAAAATGTAGAAACACATCTGTGAAAAATAGACCGTTTTAAAACGTTATTAGTATTTTTTATGTTACCAATGTCACATTAGAATCTCTAACCATAGATTATAAATTTCCCCTCAGAACCAAATACAAGTATTGATACAAAAAGTAAAGATCAGTCTACGGCATTGCCACCCTGAATGTGCCTGAGCTCATCTGATCTCGGAACCTAAGCAGGGTCAGGCCTGGTTAGTACTGGATAGGAGACCTCCTAGGAATACTGGATGCTGTAGGCATAAAAAAAAAAAAAAAAAAAGTAAAGATCATTGCCAGTAGATTCTGAAGACAGATTATTTTCTTGTGTCCACCAGAAGGAGAGTGTTTATCAAGCCCAGGCCTTGTCGAATGCAGTATATGTGTACATACAGATGTTTCAGGACAATGTAACTGTACACTAAACTATATATGAATGAAACATGCACTGGGTAATTAAAATACAACATTAAATAAAACTATTAATTGTTGCAAATAAGAAATTCATCTGATGATCCAGCATATTTTATTTAAATTCTTTTTTTACTCTTTCTTTTTTTAGTTAAAAAAAACTTTGCTATTAGTGTGATATTTTATTTTCTCTTTGCCTTTATGGTTTTTTATGTATATTTAATAATGTACTTTTTAGATTTAAGTATATATCTATTATTTATTCATATTTTCCTATAATCATTTTAGTGCCTGAAGGACCACCACAAAACTGTATAACAGGCAACATTACAGGAAAGTCCTTTTCAATTTCATGTGACCCACCAACTATGCTAACAGGGAAATTTAGTTATAGAGTCGAATTATATGGACCATCAGGTAAGTCTTAATTAATTTTGTGTTTACTTTTTGGAGTAAGAAGTATACAGAATATGTTACTGGTTTCAAATTTCTTTAAGTATCAAACTTTTTAAAAGATCCTATAATTGAATCAAATAATTGAAAAGTAATAACTTTTTGTTTAAAACCATAAATATAAGAATGGCAAAACACTATCCATGTTCCCTATTTGATGAGGGAGGGCTAAAAAATGACATGGAACCACTCAAGAAGTGTTAGAGGAGATACCTGTCTTCAAATATTTGAATAAGAAGACCGTGGCTCACTTTCATTGCAAATATATTTATAAAGGACATCTTTGTGAACAAGCAGGACTCGGGCATTTGCTTATCAGATATTTTGAGGGATTCGAACACTATATAATTGGAAATTAATTAAGTAAAATCTAAAATTCTTTTCTAATCTGAGATTTTATAGTTCTATGAAAGAAGTTAAATTCAAATAGTAATGAAATAACATAAACTCACATATTAGCATTTATTTGGAAGAATTATTCATTTTGAAACTTCTATGAATCTATCATGAATATATGATTAACCATTATCTTTCATCCTTAATTGCCTTATGTTCTTAAAATTCTGAAATATTTTCAGTTTCTAAAAGTCTTTTCTTTCCCTCCCAACCTCTTCCCATCCCCCATACATAGAAACAAAGGCGGTACACTGACATACCTTTTCTACCTGGTATTATTTTTTTAAATGTTGACAAGGTACTCCTTCATCTGTAAGTCTGATAAATCAAGTAAGATGATGCATTTAGTAATGATTACAGTTAACAACTTGGAAGTTGATAGCGATATTGACAAGAGCAGTTAAGATGGGGTATGGGGGTAAATGCCTGACTGGAGTGGATTTAAGAGAGCATGGGAGAAGAGCATTGAAACAGTGGGTAACAGACAACTTGAGTTTTAATGCAAAGTGAAGCAATGAAAGGGAGCAGAATGGAGATGCGGATAAACAGAGTTAACAGGTTTATTTTCAGAAGGAATATATAAGTATATTTTTGGCTGCTATGAATGTGGACAAAAAATAATGACATAGGAAAGATAAGAATTACTGGAAAGATATCTTTGTGTAGGCAGAGGGTGAGATCCTTTGCTCAATGTAGGGATTGGTTTGAGATTAAAATGTAGATGATTCATCCATAGAACAGGGTATAAGGCAGAGTATATGGGTACAGAGGCTAGTTATTTATGTTATAGATAATTATGTTGGTGAGACTCTATGGCAGATCTTTTCTGATTGATTTATTTTTTTCAATGGAATGAGAAGCAAGATTGTCAACTGGAAGTGATGATAGAGCAGAAAGATTTTGAAGTCTGAAGAGGGAAGAGAAAGTGTAAAATAATCATCTAGAAGAGTAGAGAGTGATTAAACTATGGAAATTAAGTAAGGTACCAGGCATCATTAAGGGCTCATTTGAGATGTGATAATAAATAAAGTGATATCACTCAGAGTGGATTTTTGTTTTTCCTCAGGTCCCTTCAATAAGAGAAGGGCAAGGGAGTTGAAGGCTTGTGTAAGGCAGTGATTATAATTGACAGACAATAACATTGAGGGTAGGCACACAGTAGAAGTCAGTTGGTGAGGAAGCAAACAAAATACAATAAAAGAGGTGGTAAGATCAATGGATTGGAGCTCCCAATGGACTTAAAAGAATTGTTGGTTCAGGGTACTTGAGTAAGAGACCAGGAAAGCGGAAAGAATGGTTAGAGAGAGTTGAATGAAATTGAGATTATGGAGAATTTGCAATTATTGGTAATGGTGATGTCCAAGTTATGACCATGAGGAAGTGATTGAAGTAGGGTAGAGGACTAGATTATTTAAGAAGAGCTCAAAATGGTTTACGGATTATCTCTAGGGATATTAAAATCGCCACTAATTAAGATGGTAGCATTAAAGAAAGTGATATTGCACCAGGAACAAAACCATCCAGAATAAGGGTGAGTGACCCTGGGGTTAGAGATCACTATGATGATGAGAGCTAGTGGATGTCACTGATGACATGAAATTTAAAGCTGCAGGCTTTTATAAAGAGGGAGCTAAAATAGTCTAAGACAGGGTAATGAGGAGCAAAGAGAACACATACCACACCTGAGGGCCTAAGTCACTTGAGGGCTTCAGGAAAATTAGACCATCACCATTCAGGATGGCTGCAGAGGAATAGAAACAGTGTTCTTAGAGTTTCAGCTAGAGCAAGATGGTGAAAGAACTATTCAGTGGTAAAGTTGAGGATTTAAAGAATTTTGATGATAGACTAAAGAATTTTGCTCAAAAGGTAAACTAGAAATACTTTCTAAACATATCTTTTATAGAAGATAATGAGAATATTTAGCATATTGATTGACTAAATTTGAGTATTTGGTTTTATATTGGTGAATCTAATGTGTTCCATTTAAATATGTAAAAAATAACATGGTAATTGAACAAGACTTTATAATTTAATAAAAGTCATTTTAAACACCGGAAGATTTTCATCTTCTTTCTGTTGTTTTCATTAAATTGATATCAATCACTACTAAGCTAAATGTTTAAATATGTTCACTTTTAAAGTTGTAATAACAAACATTAGTGCTTAGGTTAACACTTTAATTGCTGCCCTTGGCTCTATACTTGAATGTGAGAATGATTACATGATTGATGAGAAAATAATCCACAAGTATCTTTTGATTTTTGCAGGACGGATTTTGGATAACAGCACAAAAGACCTTAAGTTTGCATTCGCTAACCTAACACCATTTACAATGTATGATGTGTATATTGCGGCTGAAACCAGTGCAGGGATTGGACCCAAAACAAATATTTCAATATTCACTCCTCCGGAAGGTAAGAACATCTCCTTTTGTTTGTTAATGGGATACTTTTGCTCTGCTTGGAAATTTTATTACATTGGTTAAACATATTAAAAGCTCTTTGGTTTATATTTACTTAAGTCATGTTATTTCCTTATCAGATGACTGCTTAATACATTCTGAACATATATTCCTCAGAACACTAAACCCACAGCATGCTTCATAAGAGGCACCAAAGATGAGGCAAGGTTAGGAAACACTACATGCCTGTTAGAGATTCCAATGAATATTGACAAAACCTCAAGGAATCTTAAACAAACACACTTAACATTGTTTAACTCACATTATTTAAAGTAGAATGTATATTTTTTCAGACTAATGTTCAGAGGAATCTATAAATCCCCAATGTCTATAACAAAATATGTTTATAACCAAAAGGGTGTGCTAAGCAAGTAAGGAATCTAAATACAAATAATACAAATTTACTAGCATATACTGAATTTATTAAAATAATATTTCTCCTAAAGAAAATTTTTTATTTGTTCGTGTTAAATATCACAGTTTTATGCTAACCACCATGTTTAAAAAATGTTACCATACCATTTCATAACATATTTTCTTGGCCTACACTAAACTTGCTAAATGTCTTCATTTCTATTTATGGACTATAATTATTGAGAAGAAAACAGTAATTTTTTTTTACAACCACATCAACACTTGAAAAAGTTTCCAGATTTTCCTTGTGTGATAGCTAATGTATAGTAACTTGTAAATTACACATGCGTGTATATGTATGTGTGCATGCGCACGCTCACACTGAAGATTGGTTATACACTCATCAAATCAGTTCATTCAAGTGTTTGACCATTAGAGGGCAGCAGTTATTAGGGAATTTTGAACTTCTCCCCTTCAAAGAACAATTAAACCTTGATAATATTTTGCTGTTGAAAGAACTTAAAAATCATATTTTACATCATTTCAAATAAAAATCCTAATGCGTATATAGTTGTAATACATCAATTAAGAAAGAGATATATACTCATAAGCAAAATGTTCTGTCTTTTTTCATCTTAAAAATTTTTCTTTGTGTTTCTATCGGAAGAATCTTAGCTTTCTGTCTTCACCATTAGATTT